TCTGCTCTTGGGCAGTGAGAGGATGTTAGGCTGGACAAGGTGGTTAACACGGAAGATGGTTGGCAGATGTCCCTGCATGGGGCTGCAAGGTGTTTTTCCTGAGAATGTTGGGGATCGAGGCAGACCCTGCCAGTCTGTGAGGGAGCAGTGAGTGGGATGAGCCCCAAGCTGTGCGTCAGCCGCTCCCACCTGCCCATCTGGCTGGCTCTCATTCAGAGGGCCTGGAGTCCAGCAGGTCCCACCGGTGGGGTGAGATCAAACCCGACAACACAGCAGGGTCCCTCCGGTAGGGGTAGTGGGGTAATTCTTCCACCTGCTTGCCCCTGACCAGCTAGGTACAGTGCCAGTGTGTAATAGCCCTGCCACCTGTGTAGCCCAGAGGCTCAGCTCTCATGTGGAAGGAGCGCACCGAGTGTTGTGAGTGCCTGTGGGAAGCACCTCTGAGGCTGCCCCTTTGTGGGCATCATAGAAGCAAGACAAGGTGGAGAAAGAAAAGGAGAGGAGATATTTCTTAGTTTGTTCTTCCCTGGGCTTTCTGTTCTCATGCAGGGGAGTGCTTGAACCTCCTCTGCTGGGAGCTTGGGTCAAGGCCACAGGCACCTCCAGGACCACAGTGGAATTTCCCATCTTGGTGGGTAAGAGGGAGGCAGCTGGTCTGAGGAAAGGGCACCAGATGTGGACACAGGACCGCCCAGGGGCCTACGGGGCCTTCAGAGAGTGGCTGAAGGAGGAGCAATCCCGGCTCCGTTACTATGAAATTTGGGCAGGTCATCAACCTCTCTGTGCTTCTGGATGGGCTCTCCACCTGTACACCGGGGTAATTCGGCATGTCAACGAGGTAAGCCTGTGAAAGCACTGAGATAGGGTTTGCGCCACGAGGAGTGCCCAGTAAATGACCCGAGCAGTAAAAATAACAAGGAGAAGCAAGGATCGGATATTGTGCTTGATGTTCAAAGTTCTTGGGGAAGTCTCTTTCCAGCCCAGGGTGGAGGCGGGGAGAGTGCTGCTGGTGGTTGATAAGACTTGCTGACGTCTGTGGAGTGGTTCCGCTGGTGCAGGTGCCAACTGTCTCTACTTTTCAGGGTATTTATTCCCATCAACAGCCCCGTGGAGGAGTGCTGATCCCCATTTTACAAATGAGCCCAATAAGGCTCCGAGGTGGGCGGGGTTTAAGCCAGATCTTGGGTTCAGAGCCTGAGCTTTAAAACAAAAGCTCCCATGACCGTGAGCTGGGCCCCCCTGCAATCTTGAGCTGTTTCAGAAAGTGATTTCGGGTTGGGCAGAGAAGAGGGAAACAGAAGTCCCAGCATCGCCCTAGTCCTGTGCGGGGGAGAGTCCACAGAGGGGAGACCACTCTGCCTTCCCCCAGGAAGGGGCACTGAGGCTTCTCCGATCCTGGGCCTGGGGCAGGGGCCTGGAAGGGGCGCGAGGCTCTGCGAGCCCTGGCCTTGGCCCTGGGCATGATGCTTCACAAGAGTCAGAAGGCTGTGCCCACCCCCCCATCATGTTCTCCTGTGAAGAACGGTAGGAGCAGGGGAGGAAGGCCTGTATTCTCAGGATAGAAAAAAGGAGATGTGAAAACAGAAGATATTTTAAAGATTTTATTTATTTATTTATCTATCTATCTATCTATTTATTTTAGTGAGAGGGTGCAAGCAGGGGAAGGGGAGAGGGACAAGCAGACTCCACGTAGAGCCCCAGCTTGATCCCAAGACCCTGAGCCAAAACCTGAGAGTCCAAAGCTCAACCGACTGAGGCACCCTGTGAAAATAGATTTTAAAGTCAAAGGAGTTGTTGCTCTGATGGCCTGGTTCCTGGTTGCGTTCGGCCAGGACCCAGAGAGGGTCCCTAAGACTCAGCAACTTGGCAAGGCTCAGACACAGACCAGGGACAGTGGATCGAATGGCTGGACTGAGCAGCTTCCCTGATGGGGTTTTGAGAATGAGTGGGTGGGGGCAGGCCCCACAGTGTTCCCTCTCCCAGTGGGTCTCATCAACCTCCTCCCCAGCAGTGATTGATACGCCAGTGAGGGACAGATGGCAGTCCCCAGAGAGGCAAATGGGAAGAGAGAAACCTCTGCTTTATTGAAGGAGGAGGGTTAGGCCTCGAGCAAACCTCACCCACAGACAGTTCCCTCTCTGGCATTTCTATCATTGGGGACCCTGCCCCAGCGATCCCCTAAAACAGCCCGGGGGCTCCAGTTAATGTGGCTCAGCCAGGACAGACAGGAAAAATGGTGAGCAGAGCTGCCTCACCCTGGCTAACCTCAGATAAGCCCTCTGTCCAGGTCTCTAAAATGAAGCTGATGCCACTGCCAGGCATCCTCAGGCCCAGGGACATCCAAAGGACCTCCCTCAGACCAGGGCTGGGCCTTTCTTGTCCACTTCTCTGCCCATTCACTGCCCACAGAACTCTTCAGAAATCTCTTACTATTACCATGGGGATGCTGAGGCCCAGAAAAGGGAAGAGATTTTTCTTACTGTTATTTCTGACCATGGAAATATCTAAGGGCTGTAGACCCTAAATCAGGAACTTTAAGGAGGTGGATCAGGATGGGTCGTGTGTGCGCGCGCGCGCGTGTGTTAGGGGGTGGAGGGGAGGTGCTCTTTTTCCCTTGGAGGATTTGATAACATGGACAGGAGACTGGATGACACTTGGCTTAGGTGAGGCTGGGCACTGGGGTAGTCCTAGACCTACAGCAGAAAAAAAAAATCTCCCACTGGCTCTAGCGAGTTCTGGAAAGCTGTCCAGAAAGAGTGCTTCAAGGCCGGCACCAGTCTCGGCCACCCCTCTAGGAGCCCAGTGGTCTTCTCTTCATACTTCAGAGACTGTCTCTGGGAAGACCACCTCTTCCTGGTACCCCTGCAAACTAGCCCCTCTGTGCCCCTCCCCCCCCCATGCTGCCCTTCCTCTCAGGTGCCAGAAACTCAGAACTGGGAAAGACAGACAGACTACCAGACAGAAACCCCAGGCCCATCACTGTGTGGTCTTGGACAGGCTGAGTGACCAGAAAATCCTTGTTTTGCTTCCCACCTCAAGGTCTCCAGCTCAGTAAAGGGGGGCCTGTCAGTTTGCCTGAGAGGGTGGGGGTAGGGGTGAGGTGGGTGCAAGGCATGGCCAGGGACCCCAATGAACCAGTCACAGAATAACTAGGGACCTACCTGCCAGCCTTGGATTCCATCTCTCAGGTGAAGTTTACAACGGAAATTTTAAGCCTTTAAAAACTCCCTAGGGGCGCCTGGGTGGCTCAGTCATTGAGCATAAGCCTTCCGCTGGGCTCATGATCCCGGGGTCCTGGGATAGAGCCCCGCCATCAGGCTCCCTGCTCGGCGGGAGGCCTGATTCTCCTTCTCCCACTCCCCCTGCTTGTGTTTCCTCTCTCGCTGTCTCTCTCTCTCAAATGAATAAATAAAATCTTTAAAAAATAAATAAAAATAAAAACTTCCTGAGCCCCACCCCATATCATATCAAGATATAAAAATACCTCCAGATCCCGTATTAAATTTTTCAGTAACTCCGTAAGTTGAGTTGACTTACACATGACTAATTAAGGATGCTATATTACAGACATTTAATTAAATGTTTATTAATTTCAATTTTGCTGGAGTTTTGTTTTGGTTTTGAGAGCTAGTCATGTTTTTCAAGTTTCAAACATTTAGGGCCCGTGATAAAGCCCGAGGCTTTGTGCTTCTGTTTTGTGGGGTTGTGGCTGCAGGGGGATGGGAGGGGGGGAGACGTCCTGTCCCCCTCCGCCAGCCTCCGCAGGCCCTTCGGAAGACGCCAGATTGTGTGGGCGGCGTCGCCTGGGGATGGTGGGATGTGGCTCCCACCCAGCTGAGGGCAGGAGAGTCTTACTGGCTCGCCGGGAAGCTCGGCCCGACTGGCCCCCTCCCCTCCCCCAGGCCGGGGAGGAGGCCGCCGAGAGCTCTCCAATTGGAGAGCCTTTCATCTCTTTGTTTTTACAGTGATTAACCCGTCCAAGCGCGCCCCGAGCGTGGCTGCAGGCAGCGCAGGGGGAGGGGAGCCGAGGGCAGGGCCAGGAAGGGAGGGAGGGGCTCTGGGCTTTGTCGCTTTCAGGGTACTCTGCTGCCATAGCAATGGGGCTTTCTAAGGCCTGACTTTCATTCGATTCCATTAAAAAGCCTGTCTGCTCAGTCTCGCGAGTGGAGAGGGCGTTCCGGGTTCCCCAGTCTTGCCCCTCGCCCCTCGCCCTCGGGGAAGGGAGGGCGCAGACGGGGCTGGATCGCTGGACCCGAGGGGGTGGGGAGGAGCCGAGGACTTAATTTTGGGCACACAGCACTCTTCCCCGGGTCGCCAAAGGTGGGAGGCTGGCCTCGCCCGCCTGCGCCCCCCGGGAGCCCCTTCCCTTCCAGGGGCATTGGGGTTGGAGAGAGGCAAGCAGTTCAGCCCTTGTCCGGCCGGAGGGAGGCCAGGGCACCTGCCGGTCGGTCGCTCCACCTCTGCATGCATTTCACACTTTCTATCCTGTTAGGCGTCCGCACCCCTATGCCTATGTGGACTTTTTCCCCTCTGGTTTTTATGTCATGTGGATTTAATCTAGTTAGACGATTTTCTGCTTAAAATTGCATTGTTAACAGCAATTGTTTAAAAGTGGACCGAGAGCCTGGGCGCCCAATCTTTGAACCGGACGGGTTTTTGCATGCCTCTGCTCGGCGCACGAATCGGCCAGCGAGGGTCCGAGCGGGGAGGGGGAGGGCGACCAGAACAATCCTCGGGCTTTCTTGCTACCGAGCCTTCAGGACCTTTTCCCCCAGTGCAAACAGATGCAAATGTCTCTGCAAACATTGCACAAAGCTATAAAGAGAGAGGCGGCCGCTCCAGGCCTCAATAGCCCTTTAAACCAAGTCCAATTGCCCCTAAACAGAGGTAAAGGGTCCGCACGCATTTTTTCACTTTGGCTGGAAGGGGGGCCTGAGAGGCGAGGGCCTGCGGGAGCGGGGGCTAAGGGCTCCCCCGGTGCAACGGTTTGTGCCATCTACCCCAGCTGCGGCGCACAGAAGACGGGCTGAAGGGTGCCGTGGGTCTGGGGACGCAGCGCCTTGGGCCGGACGGGGACAGCGATGCCACCGAAGCTGGTGCCGCGGGAATGCGCGCCCGGAGAGGCCGCCGGTCCTTTCAGGCCCACAAAGGCCGCGCTAAATCGCGGCGCGCACAATAGCATGAAAGCGCGCGCTCAGGCCGTTCAGGAACAAAGTGGGATCACACTGCTCCGAGGGGACTAATAAGCTTTTAACCAGTAGGCACGACGGCGTGCCGCACCGCGGCGAGACCGGGTGTGTACCCTCCCGGCCCCTGGGGGTACGGAGACTGTCCTTCCGCGTCCCTCCGGGATCCAGCGGCAGCCGGTGCGCGTAGGACCAGGCATTTGCTTCTCATTTCTTGAGCAGAGGCTCCGGGGGCCTGCGGGAGTGCCGTTCTTAGCTCACCCCAGACCCCTGCGTAACTGCACGCGCCCGTGGGCCTCGCGACCCTAGAGGCTTGGGCACTTCTGCACCCCTCGGAAGACCCTGTGGAGACTTTGAGATCCTAGACCAGAGGAGGAGGTAGCTCCAGCAAAAGAGGCCAGCGTGGGTTCAGACTCAGCTGCTGGTCCCCAGCATGTGGCCAAATGGCCACCGCCTCAAGTCCAAGGCCTTCCCTCTCGTGCACCGCTGGCGAAATGTGCCCGGGGTGGGGGTGCGCTGGGCGGCTGAGCCCCAGCAGGCACACGCCAGGAATGGCCCAGTCTTCTTCACCCTCTTCCCTGCGCTGTGTGACCTAACATCCCATCCCTATCTGTTGAGGCCAGGGGATGGGGGTGGGTTTGGGGGAATTGTGGTCCTACTGCCACAGAACTTCCGGCCTGGTGGTCTCAGGGACAAAAATCAAATTATACATTAGGTGTAGCTCCAGAGAGCCACCAACCCTTCATACCTCAACGGGAGTCGGCTTAATTCCAATTGCTGCGGGTAGGAAGAAATGATCGCCCCACCAACGGACAGGAAACTTTGGGCTTCAAGCGGTGAGCCCGGGGGTGTCTAAGTCTGCAGTTGTCTCTGGTCCTGCTCAGTCTCTAGCCTTTACCTTGGGGGCAAGGATGTGGACCTTGAGGATGTTCACCGGGTGTGTGTGGAACAAATGAATGAGTTGCGTGGAGGTGTTCTGGACAGAGAAGTTTCCCAGTCGCCCGATGGGGAGAGACTTTGGAGCCTTGAGCGCCAAGGAAGGAGAAGCCTTCCCTTGATTGCCCCCCACCCCACCCCGAACCCTCTCACACACTAGCCTTCTCTGCTCCCAGGCTCCTTTCCCCCTGCCACGGTGTCACTTTCGCTTTTGCCATTGGTTATGTCAGCTCCGAGCTGTCATTTTCTGGAAGCAGGTAGATCCCAGCTCCAGACGTGATCCAATCACTTCTCTCCTAAAGCTGACGTTTTTATGTGGCCCACAAGCACTCTCCTTCCACCACCTCAAACGCCTTGGGCCGCCTTTAGTGCCCAAAAAGCGTGGTGGCAGCGTCTGCTTACCTACATCATAGGCTGGCTAATGTTGGCCATCATTATTTACTGAAGCTTTCTTTGTGCAAATGTCAACAGAGCTAACCCACTGAGGTCGTACCGGTGTTGGTCCCCACGGTACAGAGGAGAACATCCAGGCCCAGAGTTGCTGTCCCTTGTCAAACAGTGGCAGTCAGGATCCTAACCTTGGCATTTCGTTCCAAAGCCCAGGGTCTGTTCCGAGTTGGTTACAAACCAAGCTTCTTTCTTCTTTAACTCCACCCCCGCCCGCGGTACTAGAGACCTTGTCCCGGGGCTGGGGGGACGCAGCCTGTCTCCCAAGAGGCGCGTCCCGGTCACCCTGGGCAGGTGCAGGGCCAAGGCGGGCGCGTAGGGCGGGGCGGGGGCGTTATCTCCTGACCGACGGAGGCCTGCACATCTGTTTATCTCTGAAGCCGCGCTGGATTGGATTTCTCGATGTTTATCTCCCTCGGAGGAGCAGTGCGCTGGGGCCGCGGAGCGCGCAGCTGCGAAGCCCGCCGTGATTGACAGGTCGGGAGCCAGGCCTCCCGCCCGTGCCGGGTGTGGGTGCCCGCCGCTCCGCTGCCCACCGCTCACCCTGATCCGCGAAAGCGCTGCAGGTGAGCGTGCCAGCAGCCATGTGCCTCCGGTTCCCTGGTCTGTCAGGGCGCCGGCTAGGCCTCTCCCTCGATAAGGACCACTTAGCTGAGCTAGAGAGACAAAGTTGATTTAGCTAGCGATGCGGATGGGGACCGCGGATGGGGTTGAGGGGGCGGCGGGCAGTGAATAGATGGATGAAATCCTAATGAGTCCGTTCCCTAACCTGTCAGGTAGGCGGCGTCAGGGAACTGAGGGAAGACCCTCAGAGTGCCCTCTGCTCCCAAGATTGCCTGGGGTGAAGAGGGGGGCCCCCTTTGGGGAGAGGGGACTATGAGGCCACAGGTACTTCCAAGTGGGGTCACTTCAGGAGGCTGCAAAGGTCAGGGAAACTAAGATTTGACTGTTGAACTACCTCTCCTGGCCATACCCCCACCCATTCAGGTGACCATTCAGGTCACCTCCCCTGGTCTTTCGTCATTGCAGTTTATACTTATGTCCGTCCTCAGGCTGTGGTTGTGTGACTGATGAGGGCAGGGCATGGGTCAGTGCTGAGGCACCCTGGCTTATATCACGAGTGTCAGCATATATTGGCTTAAATTCCCCTGTCCCAGTGGCTGCCTAATAGATATGATTGGTTCTTCTAAAGCTTTCATTCCAATTCCCTCACTTCACCCACCACTGAGCAACCATTTTTACTTTCCAACCCCCTTTAGAAAGGGATTACTGGGTACCCTCTGTGCTCCTGATGTTAGGGACAGATTGGCATGTCTGTCACAGCCCATCCCCATCCCTTACAGCAGCTGTCTGGGTCTTTTTTTTTTTTTTCTTTTTAAGATTTTATTTATTTGATGGAGAGAGACAGTGAGAAAGGGAACACAAGCAGGGGGAGTGGGAGAGGGAGAAGCAGGCTTCGTGCGGAGCAGGGAGCCTGATGCGGGGCTCGATCCCAGGACCCTGGGATCATGACCTGAGCTGAAGGCAGATGCTTAACGACTGAGCCACCCAGGCGCCCCACAGCCGTCTGGGTCTTGAGTGACAGGAGATAGGACACTTAGCGTGGGCAGTGCATGCTCTACCTAGGCCACTTGCTAAGATCTCCAAGTCTACAGAGAGAGCATCACTTGGTCTTACTAGCTTTGTGGGTGGCCCTGTATCTTCAGTGATGACATACAGGTGCCTGGATGTATCATTTCAACCAGACTACATTGAGCTGGCTAGTGGCAATAACTCCGAAATAAATTGAAGTGTTGTTGTGATCGGCAAATGGATACTGGGTGGCTCCACATGGGACAAATGTTCACCTCCCCTGGCTGAACGGGGGCACTGACTTTCTGAGCTGGAGGACCAACAGATTGTTCTAGAGTGCCCGGAAGTCGAGATATGACTGTTGTTAGCAACCTTGGTTGCCCTTTTAGCCCCGCGCTGGAATGGCTGTCTAATGGCATGTGGGGTGGGAGTGATCCTCAGATGCTGTCATGTTCCTTTCCTTGCTCTTTGTGCTGATCCTATGGAAGCAGACCATGGCTCTTCTGAACATTTACTGAATCAGAAACCACAACTGCCATGCAGGGTCACCAGGAACAGAAAACCAGGGCTCATACCCTGAAGGATGAGATGGCCCAAGGCTACGAGTGCATTTCTACTGAGTGTTTGCCTCTCAGTAGAGAGGCAAGTTTGCCTTGCCACCTGAGACTCAGACCTGGTTCTCCATAGCCAGGAGCTCTGCTGGGAGATCTGAAGAGCAGGGAAGGCCTCGCCTGCACTGTCTTTCTTGTCGTTGAGTCAAGTTGAGACATGACTAGTTGTGGCTGATTCAGGCTTCCGAATGGAGATTCTGTTTTCCTTTTGTGAGTTCAAGTGGCCTCTGTGAACAGTCGCCATTACAAGTTGGCATCCACCATGACAGAGGACAAGACAGGCAGAGGGAGGGCCTTGTCCTCCCAATTACCTGGGACAGGTGGAACTCAATCCATTCTCTCTGAAACAAGTCATTATGTCCCTGAAGAGACCCTAATGGCCTCTTACCATGAGGCGGCTTAAAAGGTTTTCCCTCTAAGGCCAGGTCACGAACATCTTGAGGTAAAGAGTCAGGAATGGGAGGAATTTAACCATCCTGAGTTGCTGACCAGCTGCCAAGGGAGGGGCTCGGAGTTTTGTTTGGAAAACAGACTCTATGGGTGGCTTAGCTGAAGAGAGGAGAGAGGCTGAGTGGCTGGAAAGAGGGGATTGGGGAAGGACTGAGGAGTGGAAGGACTCTCTGCCCTCTGGAGCCTTGAGAATATTTGCTTTTAGAGAAAGATGCATGGAAATTGTCCTGGGCACCATGCCTAGACCTTTGGAGAGCTGAAGGCAGGACTTCAGGTGCCAGGGGCAGAGGCTCCTTGCAGGCGTCCTGGGGAATACGGGCAGAGGCTCCCTCATTCTGGCTGCTCGTTCAGCTCTCCCCGCACCTCTGGGTCACCTCCATCATTTAGGCCACAGCATTGGTCTGACTGCTACTACTCCCTGTGCTCCCCCCACCCGGCCCCCATTGCAACAGACCCTTTATCTGACCAAGTCCTTCCAGTCGGAACAAAGAGACAAGGGTCTTCTCTTTTCTAACTATTTACCCTGTTGCTCTGATGAATCATTCAGATGGCCTTGGTGTGGGGCCACACAGGCACAAGCCCCTCCCCCATCCCAGTGTGCTTGACATGGCCAGTGGTTCAGGCCTCTGTGCCTCACCATTCCAGGACACAGGGCTGGAGCAGCCCCTCTGTCCCACACAAAGACCCCAGAGACCTGCCCCAGACTTGGGGATGGAGGCCTGGGGAAGCAGCAGGCCCGTTTTCATTGGTTGAAATGAAAATTGGAGGTACTGAGATACTGGGGACTGACTATACCATCTATCTCTACAAGCCCAGGGCCAGCCCCTATTACGCTAGAACTGAAGGCGCTCTCAAGGTAGCAAATGGACCCCACTACTTCCTCACTTTACCCAGGAACATCCCTGGGAGGTGTCTGGATTGCTCACAGGCAGGAACCTCAGCACGGGTGTCCAAGATACTTCTAGGAAGGACACCCACCT